ATTGTGTAAAGAGAAGTGTTTAATAGTATATATATTTCTCAATGTTTGTATTTATTATATTTTCATAATGAGATGATATATGAAAAATATAAATAATTATATTTTAAATAAAATATAAAAAATAATTAAATTATGAGATCCTCCGAGCATCGCACGGGACATGCACTAGTAAAATTTCAACTGAAAGTTTTTGGTAAGGTGCAAAGAAATCATACAGTTCCAACTCCCTGGAAAGCATGTCTACATCAAAATCCATGGCGCCCTCTGAAAATCTGGGTACACCTTATACAATAATAAAAAAACATCTCTCGTGTGATTGTCTCCATCTCATTTGTTTGGTATTTTCTGTTTGATTATTGAAGCTGCTAACTGTGTAATTGGCTTTGTTACCAATCAAACCCTTGCTTGTGGGATGTTATACCAATTATGTCAGATAACTCAACTATACTTGTGTCTAGTTCATGGGATTTATTCTAACTATTGAAATAAAATTGCCAAACAGGCGCTAATGGAGTGAGGTTGACTGAGCCAGATCTGGTGCCTTTCCAGAGGGTGTACACTCCAAAATATGTTAAGTCTTATTCTCCATACTGGTTTGGGTTTGTATCTCCAGGTAATCACGGGAGTATGTTCACAGTGCCGGACCCAGAGTATTTTCATTTTGACATTGAATACAAAGTAGGTCCTTTTCTAGCTGACCTTATTGCAAACTGCCCACCGCCCCTTAATAATAAGTCTACCAGTGAGTGTGGTGCGGACTCTCCTGAGCCTTGTCGTATTTGCTACAATACTCATGGCTTCAGCCAGTGTTCTTATGTATGCTCTTCTTACCCTTGCGGGGCGGACTTTAACTGGGAATACTTCGTGATAGCCTGTCGTTGGTGTGTGGGTGTTAGGATATTAAAGTAACATTGATTTGAAAATAAAAAGAAAGCTCAAGAGAATCAAAGCTTAATCAGGTTTTTCCATTTTCATGAAACATATGACAACATACTTTCTTGGTCATTCATTGCTCTAGGTTAAAAATATGGTAAAGTATTTATATACAAGATGATAACTATCCTACTGTTCTCATTGCATGATCTTGGTTTTTGTCATTTCTTTCAATGCTCTTTTATGATAACATGGTTTGAACCCTCGTTGACAGTTCTCATCTTGCATGGCTTCACGAGCTGAGGTGGCATTGCATGCACGGTCCATATGTATTCTATCATCCCCCCCTCAAGCCAAGGGAGGTTGCAGGAAGGAGTTGAAGTAAATTTTTGAACTGAGTGAAGGCTTAATGAGATAGAGGCTTGGTAAAGACATCCCCAACTTGGTGCACACGGGAACATGAAGCACTTTGAGAGATCCTTTAGCAACTAAATCCCTTACAAAGTGGAGATCTATCTCTATATGCTTTGTGCGTGCATGTAGAACCAAGTTGCTTGAGAGAGAAATAGTACTGAGGTTGTCAACCCACACTGTTGGGGTATGGGAGCAAGAGATAGATAGTTCTTTAAGGAAGGAGGTGATCCATGATATTTCAGCTGAAGCTTGAGCCAAGCTTCTATACTCGGTCTCAGTACTAGATCTAGATATAGAAGTCTGTTTCTTGCAACACCATGATATATGATTCTTGCCAAGGTAAATGCAGATACCTGATGTAGACCTTCTGTCATTTAGGTCATTGTCCCAATCAGAGTCTGAGAATCCAGTGACATGCAGGTTTGTGTTCTTGGCATAGTACAGTCCATATGAGAGGGTACCAACAAAGTATCTGAGGATTCTTTTCACAACCTTATAGTGAGTGTCCATAGGGCACTGCATGAATTGGCAAACTTTGTTCACACTATAGGCTATATCTGGTCTTGTGATACAAGCATACTGAAGTGATATAACCACACTTTTGTACAGTGTGGGGTTGTCCATTGGAGTGCCCTGGTTTTTGGTAAGAAAGGATGAAGAAATCATGAGAGTGGGGAGAGGTTTGGCATCCATTATGTTGGTCTTTTCTAGAATGTCCTTTATACATTGATATTGTGTGAGGTGAAGACCAGAAGGAACATGCTTGACCTCAATACCTAGGAAGTGATGAACATGTCCTAGATCTTTTAAAGAGAACTGTTGTTGAAGTGTACCAATAACTGTGGAGACAACAGCCACATTGGAACCTGTGATTTGAATATCATTAACATACACAAGGAGCCACACACAAAAGGAGTCTGTTTGTTTAATATAGAGAGAGCATTCTGATTTGGAGTGACTGAAACCAAGAGCTAGAAGGGACTGTTTGAGTTTTGTAAACCATGCTTTTAGAGCTTTTTCTCAGACCATAGATGGACTTGTGAAGTTTGCAGACAATGTGTGAGTTGTTATGATCCTCAAATCCAGGTGGTTGGGCCTAGAGGTCTTCACTTACCTCACCATTAAGAAAAGCATTATTGAAGTCAAGGTGTTTCACACACCAACCATAGGTGAGTGCCAAGGACAAAACAACTCTTATTGTGGTTGGCTTATCCACTGGGCTAAATGTTCTATAGAATTCTATACCTGCAGTCTGGCTATAGCCCGTAGCAACAAGTCTTTCCTTGTATCTAGCAATGGTGTCATCAACGTGTCTTTTGATTTTGAAGAGCCATTTGCAACTAATTATGGATCTGTTGGGTGGTGGTTCAACAAGGGACCAAGTCTTGTTGTTAATGAGAGCCTTGTATTTAGTAAGCATGGCTGCCTTCCATGAAGGATGAGAGAGAGCCTCTTTGTATGTAGAAGGTTCTGCATCATTGAGCTGAGCTGCAAATATATAAGAAGGTTTGAGAGAGCCTGTTTTTGACCTGGTGATCACATGGTGAACAGGAACAAAAGTATTAGTAGTACTGGTAACAGGTGAAGTAATGTCCCTCCCAACTGGCAATTCAATGTGTAGAGGAATGGTAGAATAAGTGTTTGATGAGGTATGGTGGGGAGGAGACCGAGAGGAACTGGAAGTGTGAGAGTAAGTATTGCTGCTGTGATGAGATGGTGGATCAAGAGGCAGATTTGGAGGTGATGAAGGAGGTTCTGTTGGTGTAGGTAATGTTGGAGGTACAGTAGGGTGACTGTGAACAATAGGAGGAGGTTGATGCATGAAGGAGGTTAAGTCATGGTAATGAGACTGTGTGGTTGTGGTCTTAGAGAAAGAAAACTGAGACTCATAAAAAATGACATCCCTTGTGACTAGAATTTTTCTAGATGGTAGTAAGACATTATAGCCTTTGTGCTTTGAACTGAAACCAATAAATGTGGAGGGTTGGGATCTGGGTTGGAGTTTTTGTTTGGTGTATGGTCTAAGATTGGATAACAAAGGCAGTCAAATACTTTGAAAGTGGAGTAGTTGGGTTTGTGATCATATAACATTTCCAAAGGTGAGGTGAACTTGAGGGATTTGACAGGTAGTCTGTTTAATGCATAGATGGCAGCACTAAAGGCATCATCCCAGAACCTTATGAGAAAATGAAAGTGGTATAAGAGGGCATGTCCCATCTCAACTATAGTTTTGTGCCTCCTTTCTGTAACTCCATTTTGAGTTGGTGTGTATGGGCATGAGAGTTTGTGGTTAATGCCAGAATCATTAAACACTGAAGTGAGGGCTCTAAACTCACCACCCCTGTCACTTTGGATTGCTTTAATTTTGTGATTAAGCTGGTTTTCAGCTAGGTTCTTAAAGTACAAGAAAGCATTTTAACTTTATATTCTAATTTGAAAAAATAAATCCAGGTGTATTTGGTGTAGTGATCAACAAAGCACACATAATATTTGGATCCATTAGTAGATGGTATAGGAGAAGGACCCCAGACATCTGTATGAACTAATTCAAGAGGATAATTATAGATTGCATCAGACAAAGAGTAAGGCAAAGAGGGTGACTTTGCTTGTTAGAAAGAACATCAAAAAAATTTGTTGTTCATAGAAACTGAAAGGTTACAAGATCTCATAACTTTGGAAACTACATCAAATGCAGCATGGCCAAGTCTAGAGTGCCACAGGGCTAGATCATTGTTTTGATTGAAAGTAACAACATTTGCAGAAAGTAAAGGAGATAATGGTGTCTTCTGAGTGGGTGATGATGAGGTGGTTGAGCAAGTGAATTCAAAGTTGTAAAGGCCCCCTTTAAGTATACCTTGGAGAAGAACTTGGTGTGTAACCTGGTCCTTTACAAAACAAATAGTAGGATAGAAGACAAAGTAGACAGAGTTATAAAGAGCAAATTGTGAAACACTCAACAAGTTCTTTGTTATTGTGGGCACATGAAGTAAGTTCTTGAGAAATAGAGGTCTAGACAGGTTTGATGGGGTTTGAATGTGAGAATTGCCAATATGAGAGATGGACAAACCTGAGCCATTACCAACATGGAGTTTGTTGTTCCCTTGGTAGTTAGAGGCAATGTTGAGATTGGCAAGATCATTTGTGACATGATTTGATGTTCCTGAGTCAGCATACCACAAGGTATCTGGGTTGGGGTCAGGTGAAGTGACCAAAGCATTGAGATGTGTAGTCCCAGGGTTGTGTTGCTGGTAGATGTTGTTTGGTTGAGTCTGAGCTGTCTGAGCTTGCATGGTGGTTGGTGGAGGATAAGAGCTATCATATCTGTGGAAACACCTGTCAGCTGTATGATTGTTGAGGCCACACAGCTGGCATGATGGTCTTGCATTTGAGTTTCTATAGCCCCTTCCATCTCTTCCTCTGTAGTTGTGAGACCTTCCTCTACCTCTTTGATTGGAGAAGCCTCCTCTGGTGTTGTTGTTGGTGGGAAAGGGTGAAGGGGATTTCTGATGTGTAGAGGAATTGTTTAGAGCTAAGTTAGCACTGGGTATGGAGCCATCTGGGTTCACAAGAGTTTGACTGGAGATATCTAGCCTAGATTCAAGGATGAGTAGCATAGCATAGACTTCATTAGGGGTATAAGGTTCCACTCTTGATGTAACATCCACAATAGCTGGGTTATAATCAGTGTCTAGCCCAGCAAGAATGTATAAGCTCTAGTTTTGTTCTGAGACTAGTTCTCTTGCAACACCAAGGGCATCACAGCAGGCCTTGACTTTGCTCAGAAACTCTCTCATATTGCTAGATCCCTTCTTTAGGGTTTGAAGCTGGAGCTTGTGGTGCATAAGCCTTGCCTTTGAGAGTCCAGAGAAGTTAGATTCTAGAGAGCTCCACACCTCTTGAGAGGTAGTCTTGCCAACCATCATTATAAGAAGGTTTTCACTCAGCGAGGAAAGTAACCAAGACATGAGTAGTTGATCTTGTCTTACCCAAGTGGCAAACTCTGGGTTGAGGGATGGTGCATCTGTGCTACCAGATGAGAGGAACCTCGGGGGTGGAGTGAAATCTACAGCAATGAAGCTTTCTAAAGCATACCCAACAATAGCATTGTAGGTTTGTTGCCTCCATAACTGGTAGTTTGAATCTGTGAGTTTAATGGAGATTAGTTGGTGCTGGGGATGAATGAAGGGGGTGGGGTTGGTAGCCATGGTGTTAACGTTGCTCTATAAGGATCTTGAAGACGCCATGATTTAGATGGAGAGTGGATTTGAGGATAAGGTTTGTAGAGTCACATGAACTTAAAACAGTAGCAGATCTGAGGGTGGGATGAGTGAATCTCGAGGTCCAAGGAAAAAAAAAAAGATATTGAGTGCTCTTGATACCATGTTAGGGTATTAAAGTAACATTGATTTGAAAATGGAAAGAAATCTCAACAGAATCAAAGCTTAATCTGGTTCTTCCATTTTCATGAAACATATGACAACATACTTTCTTGGTCAGTCATTGCTCTAGGATACAAATAAGGTAAAGTATTTATATATGCAAGATGATAACTATCCTACGGTTCTGATTGCATGATCTTGGTTTTTGTCATTTTCCTTCAATGCTCTTTTATGATGACATGGTTTGAACTCTCGTTGGCTGTTCTCGTCTTGCATGGCTTCACGAGCTGAGGTGGCACTGTATGCACGGTCCATATGTATTCTATCAGTGGGTCACTCTTCCTTTGATGTCGACGAGTGGGTTTGTAATGCATGTGGCAGGAAGACAGCAGCCCTTGCCAGAAAGTACTGTATTATTTGCCGCAGCTATACAAAGCATTGCACCTATGAATGCCCTAAGGATGAGTCTTTAGCTGCCTAACATAATCTTCTTCGGCACAAACCGAAGGCTGCCCCGTATATACCAGAGTCTTCCGTGAATGACTCTTGAGTTCAGTTGTCTTATGTTCTTGGATTTGTGGGTTTTGTGGATGCATAAAAACAGTCGTGTGCATGAGAAGAGGTTGTCTTTTCAATACTGCTATTTTAAATCAAATGATGTAGTTATTTCTTTCTCTGATCTGGGTAGGTTAACACCTTTTCGGTGCTTGTGAAATTGGTAACCTGAGATTGTTGTGACTTTCATGGATTTACATTTTGCTTTCGTATATATCTATTGTTTGTCTGGTGCTTGGTATTACAAGTTGTTTTCTTAGTAGACTGTTGTTAATGTGTCAAAAGTTTCTTGCTTTCAGAAGTGGGAATTTGGTGGATGACACATGGTGTTCATTGTCAAAAGTGATTGGAATTGCATATTTTTTATCTTGTAAACCTGCTTAGAGTAGGTCACAAGTCTGAAGAAAGCAAGTTTAACAACTTTTTCGGGCAGTATGTGTTTGGGGACACTGGAAAGTTGAGAGTGATGGCTTAGCCATCTCTTTTGATATGTGTAATCTCTCTTAAGTGTAGACATTGTAACCTTTTGATTTTGGCTTTGTTGCTTGAAATGTTTGTGTCACTAGACTTTATAGATAACAAGTTCCAAGTATATGGTGGGTAAACTGCACTTGGTCGGACGTGTCGAGGGAACTATTTTAGTATTTTTGTGTATCGAACCTGTACGCCTATGTCACAATGAAACTAAAAAACTTGGCAGAATTGTTTTCTTTGGGTTCTAGTTTGACATCATCAGTTAAGAGCATGTGTACTAATTTGACTTCATTAACTAAGAGTATTTGGGTTCAAATTTGGCATCCTCACTTGAGAGCATGTGAACTATTTATTGACTTCATCAACTAAGAGCATGCTCAATGATGCAACGTCCGTTTTTTCATAATATGCCGCATAAAATTTAATGTAAGAATCACATTTAAAATAGTTAAATGTGGATTGTAGAAATTTAACGTAAGGATCGTATTTAAAATATTTAAATGTGGATTCTAGAATAGTTAGCGATACTTAGAGCATGTCTAATGGTGTTTCAGTTGCAGAATACTAGAGGTAGTGCAAGGAAAAACATCTAAGTGAATTATTTGCTTCTACTTTTTATGATGTGGCATGAGGAGGTTTAAAAATTCTAGAACTCTTTCCACATCTCAAACCCCTGCTAGACATTCTGAGTCACTATTTTTGCTTCTATTTTTTTTATTTGTAATTAAAAATTATAATTAATTTGGAGAGAGACGTAACTGCACGATAATTTTTTTGCAGAGTACACAAATGCGGAATCGTAGTTTATAGTGTGTTGGTATTTATTTGTACACACTTTATCAAAAAGCACATTAATTTATATAAAGGAAGATAAAAGAAATACATTTATATAACTAGAAAAGTGCACGTGCAATGCACGTGGTGACGAATATTTTTGGTCGATTAAGTTTAATAAGATCAATTAATTAATTTATTAAAATATGATTACAGTAACAAAATAAATGTTGAACAAATAAACTCGTAATGCATTTTTTTTTCAAAATAATATAATGACGTTGCAACATAAAAAGATTTAAATAACATATTGCAACCCCAACAAAAATATATGAAAAATATGAGTTCTTAATAAAAAAAAGATAACTAAGGACATAATGTATATTATAGATGCATGCGTCTTTTTATTTATTTATGTTAGATTCAAGAGTGATTTTTTTTTTTCATTTTGGTTTTGACGTTCTTATAAAAAAACATTCATACTCGTAAGGCAATACATCAATAGTATTGCAAAATTATTTTTAATTATTTAACAATACGTCTGCTTTATTCAACACTTATAAATATTTTAGTCTAACATATAGTCAAACTTCGGGATTACTAACTTCGGGATTGTATGATCATTGTAAGGTACTTCTACTAACAGTTCATAAATATTATCTATGTGAAATAACAAACCGTGTCATTAAAATCCTTCATAAAATTACTCTCTCTCTCTCTCTCTGTATGTCTTTCCCTCTCTCCATATCGACAAATTAGTACATACATCATAGGGTGGGAACAAATTTCATCTCCAAATATTCCAAAATCATGTACTTCTCTGGAGACGCTAAATTATTTTTTGAAATCATCAAATGAACGTACGTACTCTAAAGTAATTGTGCATATAATCGTGCACAATACATAATTAAGATTGGAAATATTCCTATAAAAAAATGACAACTTATTCAAACTTTAAAAAATGTTTTGATCATGATTAAACATTCGCTTTTCAGTGTTATCTATTTGAAAGATCCATGAACTACATAACCTATTATTTGCAAATCATTGTACATTTTGGTTGTTGCAATGATTTAGAGTCGTTTATCATAATACTTTCACATTCGTTCGGATTTGCAATATTTAAGTCTAATAACCTATTTAATGCACTTATTGTCCAACTTTTTGCATCATACATAATGCTTTGAAAATTCAAGATAAAGATCTTTTCTTGATTGTTCAATAATAATAATAATAATAATAATAATAATAATAATAATAATAATAATAATAATAATAATAATAAACAATGAGAAAATATTGAGAAGCATATCATTTGTCAAAATATTTCAGAGAAGAATTTGAATTTTATCATACTATGATACTCTTAGTCATCTGCGAACTTTAATATTACGAAGTCGTTACTAAAGTTTATGGTCTATATTATGATATATGGAATAATTATTTATGAGAATCAATTTTTTATATAGAACATATATTTAAATTGGTATTGATATATATATATACATATAATTTTATATCGATAGAAATAATTATATATGTTTTTTTCAACACAATTGAAAAGAAATGATGTAATATATTACATATAAAAGGGTAACAAATAAAAAATATTAATTATTTCAAACTTGAAAAATTTAATAGTAAAAAAGTAATTAAATTTTTTACTAAAAAAATTAATACTAACATAATGATTTCTGATACAAAAAACTATATATATTTCTTTTAAAAATATGCATCTTAAATATGTTTTTTTTTTCAGAACGATAGAAAATATTATAATCAAAAGCGCACAAATGTGCGAATACAAGCAGCCAAAGGCTGAAAAGTGGGAGGATAGGTCACGAGACCGCCTAGAAACCCGGCTAGCAACTGCTACGAAGAAAAACTCGCAACTAAACTAAACAACTAGACAAGACCCCCACAGGGTAATAGAACAACGACACAAACAACAAAAACAACTAGACAAGACCTCCACAGGATAATATCGGAGTGTCGGACCCCCACAGGGTAATAAATTTGACACCCGGGAGCACAGAGGCCAACAGCCCAACCTAAAACACGATCACAAACACTAAACAAACACAAACAAAACAGACACGGAAACAGGAAAAACAACAATATAAAAA